TGTTATTTGTTACTTTGGGAGTGAAGCATTCTTCGGAAAGGCCCTGTTTTCCAACTCCGGCCAAAATAAGATCAAGTTCTTAATGCTCTGCTTATGACAGAGGGAACATCTACTTTAATGCTGCATCAGTGAAGTAATTACATGATATTTGTTAGGTGACATGCAAATGACTAGCAATGGAAAATGAAATAGAAAGTTCCATTTGTTTCAGTACAGTGTAAAACATTTTATATTAGCTCAAAAGTCATTTTGGATGCTTGTTTATTTGTTCGTTTTGGGCAACAAATTAGTAAAAAGTGCCTCTAACAGAAAAACGTCTGGGCATCATGTATTGATATCTTAGGTGCATCGAAGCCTTGTTGTTGTTGTTAGGTGCTATCGAGTTGGTTCCCCCTCATAGTGACCCTATGTACAACAGAACAAAACACTGCCCTGTCCTGCGCCATCTTCACAATCATTGCTATGTTTGAGCCCATTGTTGCAGCCACTGTGTCAATCCATCTCATTGAGGGTCTTCCTCTTTTTCACTGACCCTCTACTCTACCAAGTATGATGTCTTTCTCTGGGAACTGGTCTCTCCTGATCATGTGTCCAAAATATGTGAGAAGAAGTCTCACCATCCTTGCTTTCAAGAAGCACTCCGGTTGTATTTCTTCCAAGACAGACTTGTTCATTTCTGGCAGTCCATGGTATATTCTACATTCTTCGCCAACACCATAATTCAAAGGCATCAATTCTTCTTCAGTCTTCTTTATTCATTGTCCAGCTTTCACATGCCTATGAGGTGATTGAAAATGTCATGGCTTGGGCCAGGCACACCTTAGTCCTCAGATTTGTGACATCTTTGCTTTTTAACACTTTAAAGAGGTCTTTTGCAACAGATTTGCCCGATACAATATGTTGTTTGATTTCTTGACTGCTGCTTCCGTGGACATTGATTGTGGATCCAAATAAAACAAAATCCTTGACAATTTCAATATTTCCTCTGTTTATAATGATGTTGCCTATTGGTCCATTTGTGAGGAATTTTCTTTTCTTTATGTTGAGGCGTAATGCATATTGAAGCCTATATAGTCTTTGATCTTCATCAGTAAGTGCTTCAAGTCCTCTTCACTTTCAGCAAGTAAGGTTGAAACCTAGCAATCAGCATTTCAGTACTTCTTTTAAAGGGTTGTTTGCTTTGTTTGTTGTCTGCTACTACAGTGGGGTTTTATTCATCTGGAAATAAGGTTTTAGAACCCTTGCCTTTGAAAAGTCTTTTACGGAAAACACAAGGCATAATCTAAAAAATGTAGCATAGATACATCAGATAATTTTTCTATTAGGACCATTAAATTTTCGGAGTGCTTAGAAAATTACTGTTAAAATTTTGACATTTTCTGAAGCCTTCTGCTCTTGATTGTGTATTTTAATAATGCTGTTTACCACATTTTTAAAAGTTTATTAAAAATACTACAGACCAAGTAATTTAAGTAATTTTTCATGGAATGTGAAAGAATCCATAGAAAATAAATGAAAGAATTTCTTTTGAAAAGAAATTTCTCTAAGATTCTCCAAGACAGTGATTGCTTTTCCATGTCACTGAATGCCGGCTGTTATACTGAGTTATAGAAAGAGTCTGTGAGGTTTCTAGTACAATTTCTCTCATGGATTTCATCGATTATTCCAGAGCCTACACAGTAGTTCCTACGTTATAAATCCACACTGTAGCTCCAAGAGAATTTGGCCTCTTCCTATATTTGCTTGCTGAGCTGCTTCCTAAAGAAAGTTCTTTACCCATACCCTCAGTGTATGTTAATTTTTCTTATTGGGTACAAGTGATTTTCAGTGTACTTTTTATTTCTGTTTTTGTTTTCTATCTTTTAAAAATACCTGTGTATTCTTCTTCTGGAAGGAAAGATGCTAATTTAGAATATTTATATGGATTCTTTCTGTATTATACAATGTTTTACGTATATTATCTCATTGTCTCTTCCATGATTTTGGCTTTGGAAATAGAAAGACTGAGAAACAGAGAATAAAAGAGTTTAAGTAACTTTCTCAGCTGATAGAGACACAATAGGATGAACACCCAAGCAATGTATTCTTTAGTTCTTGCAAGTGACTAAGTATTATTGAAAGCTGGAAATATGCTAGCATTGACCAGAATTCAGACTCTAACAAACAGCAAAGACCTGTGTAAAGCTGCTAGGAGTAACATGGTAGCATGTTACAGTGAAGATTTGGTTATTCAGCTAAATCTAATAAACATTGAATGAGCACTGTTTCAAAACAATTGCCATTTAAAATTGTAGCATCTTTAAAGACATAAAAGCTATGATCCCTGCCCGCTAAGAGCTCACAATTTAGTTATTCATATCCTTTATTATTCCTTATCATTTTACAGGCCTTGTGAGAAATACTTTAGGATTATCAGCAATTAGAACCAGAGTGCTTCATATTTTACAGTAGACTGAACTCTGTCTCTGTGTTGTCAGATTAATCAATCGGTATATTTCTCAGTGAATTTCTTTATAAGGAGGTTCCATGTGGGTGAGAATATCACAGAGGTTTGAATATAAAATATCTAAAAGGCATAATTCCTTATAAATAACTTCCAAAAATGCAGGAATAGCCAATATTTTAAATAAAGATAGTTGAGTCAATATGTTCCATCTTACTCCTACTCTTGTCCTTTCTCTTATACTTATTTTAGTTTAATTTTCATTTATTTTAAAAATAATTTTATTAAGAAGTAAGACATATTTATGTTAATTCGAAGAATATAGCAGAGTATTGGAAGAAAGATAAAAGCTCTCCTCCTCTCTACTTGGTTCCCCATCTCCGAACCCCAGAGGTAAGAGCTTTAATACTTTCACGTGTATCCTTTTCCATATGTCTAAGCATATTCAAATATATATATGCACATACATAGACGTGTGTATATCTACATTTATTCTTGTATTTGTACTTTGTAAATACAAATTCATGAATATTTACCTCCAGGAGTGATATTCAATAAGACAGAATGGTCAAAGCCCAGACCAATCAGAACAGATGTTTTGACTGTTCCTTACTATACCGGGGTTAACCATATAGTCTCAGGGAGAGGAGGTATTTGGGCAGCAAAGATTTACCAACAGGTACAAAACCATTTTAATATTTTAACTACACTTTCTTCCACCTGTGTCCCAGTCAAATAGAGGCTCTGTTTTCAGTCATTTGATGGCTGATGATTTTCCTCTCACTGCACATGAGTCTGTGCGCATTCTAGCAAAGATTTCAAAGGACTACCATCAGAGCCATTTGTGTTATGCTCCTTCTCCGCCAACTTTTCATGTTTTTAATTTGAATCCCTTAGAATTTACCATAGATACCAGTACCTTTACCAGTTGCCCTTTAGTAGATCCCAACTCATGTGTGTCAAAGTGGAACTTTGCTCTATAGGATTTTCAGTGACTGATACTGTACACATATGTGTGAAGATCTCATGTTAAAACTATGAAGGTAATAATACAGTTTACTTATAGCACCTTCCTTTCATGATTCCTATTATGGCCAAAAAGACCCTTTAATCACATCACAGTGGACCTGTCCTCCCAGTAGTGCCCCTCCACTGACCCCAACCACCCAGGGCTTATTTATAGCTATCAAACTTCCCATATCTAATAGCATTTAGTAATCAGTAACATATACTTTTTTATTAGTCTACTTTTCATGCTCCTCATGGAAGGAAAGGACTTTAATTTAAACTAGTATATATATATGTATACATTAAAATATATATGTATATATACATATTTACCTAGAATACTGCCCATAAATGTCCCTCCATAGTATCTGTGCACTATTTTTAGTCACTAATGACTTTTGGGGAAACCCTGGTGGTATAGGGGTTAAGAGCTATGGCTGCTAACCAACAGGTCAGCAGTATGAATCCACCAGCTGCTCCTTGGAAAGCCTATGGGGCAGTTCTACACTGTCCTATAGGGTTGCTATGAGTCAGAATCGACTTGATGGCAATGGGTTTGGTTTTTGGTTTGAAGAACTTTTGGATTTCCATGGGTAAAGATACACATATGCGCTATCACAAAATATCCAGAATATTTCTTTTTCATGACTTCAAATTCTATGTAGATTCAAACGTAGAGGATTGTCACATTTTCCTCAATTGCAACTCTGTTGACTTACCTTTCTTCATTTTCCCTTTCTTTCCACATGTTTACCTCTTGTCTGGCTCAAAACAGAAAATCTTCGTTGAATATATTCTAGTTTCTGTCAGTTGTCTGCTATCATTCTAATTTCTTTCTTTATTATTTTCTGTTTTGGGATATAAAAAAATCAACATTTACTGAGTAATTCCAAGAGCTGTGCCAGATGCTCTGTATATATTATCTCATTTAATCCAAGCTCTCTTTCAGTAGTTTACTCATTATTGACCTTAATTTTGCAGAAAAGGGAGGTAATAGTTGGCAATGTAAATCTGCCCAGAGTAATATAAATCCTGGAACCACAATTTGAACTCGTGACTGTGCCTCCAAAGCTCCATTTACCACACTGAATCCATCTAAATGGTATAATTTTTGTGAAGATTAAGTAATAGAAATAAATTTGATTTCTAAACTATCAAGCACTATTCACACATGGAATTTATATCTCATATTTTATAGTCTCTAGCAGAGTAGGGTGAGAAAATTGGTATGGAATAAATGTTTTGGGTGATAATAATTATAACGGAACTTTAAAAATCAGGTAAAATGATGTCAATGAGTTGTTAGAGAGTTAAAGTCCAATCTTAACCCATTTCTTTTAAAGCCACAGCTGTCAATATGAAACATCTCTTTTTAGCAAAAAACTTATTATTTATGAATATGTAATAGTAAAATCATTTTAGAGATCATAAAAGCTATAAAATAAAGTCTGAAATAAAATCTACTGTAGTATTTAGCCTTCTAATTGACATATAATGGTGAGAATACTCTGGAATTAAAATTTATGTTGTGGTTGTTATTCTTCCCCAGGTGTTCCAGATTGCATATGTGATTGTGAAAGCGGCTAACTCCCCTAGGCCTGGAAACTGGATCTTGGAACGCTCTCTCGATGATGTTGAATACAAGCCATGGCAGTATCATGCTGTGACTGACACGGAGTGCCTAACCCTCTACAATATATATCCCCGCACTGGACCACCATCCTATGCCAAAGATGATGAGGTCATCTGCACTTCGTTTTATTCCAAGATACACCCTTTAGAAAATGGAGAGGTAAGATGAGAAAACTCACCGTAAGTACACGTAAGATGGCAAAGTAGGCCTGTCAGACAGACTTGAATATACCAGTAATTAATGTCAGGGAGACTTTAAAATAGGATTTAGCAGAAGTACATTTAAATGAGTTATTAAATAAAAAAGAAAAATCCAAGATGATTAGAATTTTAACTACCTTCATCAAGTATGTGTCTCCTATCTCCAATACAGATCACAGAAGAGGAAATGGGTTTAACTCAGAAAGTCAATGATTAATTTTACATATAAAGAGGATTTCCTGACAATTGGGATTGTTAATGATTAGAGAATGATTGGAGACCTTACAGGAAGCCAAAGCCTTGGATTTTTGTGTACTCTGGTCTGAGGATGTAGATGAAAGAGGCAAATTTATAAAGAAATACATTCCACACAAAGGAACCCAATAAAAGATACCTCAAGGAAATCTGTCAGTCTTTGAATGATGTTCTGCTCTTACGACACAGGGCTACAGCGGGGTGTACTCCGTTTTGGGCAGGCTTTGCTGAATGGTAATGTATAGCAAACGCAGGTCTCAATTATATGCAAGCTAAAGTATATGCTTATTCAAAGGTGTTTTGTTTCTCTGTAGTATCTTTTATCCTGTGGCTAAGGGTTTAGATGCATTTATTGGTTTTATGCCACAAACTCAAAACATGGTTTCACCTCTTACCAGCTGTGTGATCTTGATCTAGTTATTGAAATTCTCTGTCCCTCAGTGTCTTCCCCCATAAATACGGGAACAGTGACATTAGTTATTATCTCAGTAGTTATTCCTGATTGTCAAGAAGATTACATGAGTTATTATATTTGAAGAATGTAGACCAGTGCTGGCGCACACTAAGTGCTCTGTACATATTAACTACAGTTGATCCTAATTATTTGAAGATTCTGTATTTGTGAATTTGCCTACTTGCCAAAATGTATTTGTTATCCCAAAATCAACACTCACAATGATTTCAGGCCATTTATGAGCATCCGCAGAGTGGTGAAAACTTTGTGTTGCCTGGCGTGCACATTCCCAGCTGAGGTCAAACAAGGTGATTCTCTGACTTCTTGTTTTAGCTCTGATATTGTAAACAAGCTTCCTTTTTGTGATCTATTTAATGCCACACGTTTCACATTTTTGTGCTTTTTGTTGGTGATTTTTCTGTTTTAAATGGCCCTTAAACAGTGCTGAAGTGCTGTTTAGTGTCTCTGAGCTCAAGATGGCTATGATATACCTTATGGAGAAAATATGTGTTAGATAAGTTTTAGTGCTGTTGACCACAAGTTCAGTGTTAATGAATCAACAATACAGTACATCCAGAAAAAAGAAGAGGAAAGTCATTGATCTGCTTGTGAGGCTGCTCTGAAAAATGTAATGTAACATCTATAGTGTATGATGAAGCTATGGAAAAGATGGGAAAGTGGCTAAATGTGTGGATTCATGAGATGATGACAGATTAAAAAAGCATAATGGACAGTATTGTGAGGGTGATAGCCAAACAAATTTACGGTCGTGTTACTCAGGATCAGGAAAATTTTAAACCCTTCTTGGCTAGTATTTTATTATAAAGAAATACTATGTATAATTAATAATTTGATAGAAATATATGTTAAATAAAATATCTTTAAACAGAAACACACAGAAAATAAGGTTATGTTTTGATCGATTAATGGAAATGCTTTGACCAGAGGCTTGCAGGGACCTAAGCCTGTGTCTTCCCCAGGATCAGTGACACAGTGTTCACTAATTCATTGTGCACAGTGACTTTAAAGAACATAACTGCCACAAAAATGGACAATCGACCGTATTGACTGTATTTTGTTGTTGTTGCTGCTGCTGTTTTTGTTACTTTGCTCCCGGAAGACACCCACACCTTGACTTTGTGCCTCTCTTGGATTCTCTAATACCTGTTTATTATATTTCTACAACCTATCTCCCTTCAGTATATGTGATCTATACTGCTTATGTACATCCTACCTGCTCATGTATGTCTCTCTTTATACTTTCCTGCTATTCTCTCCTCACCGGCCCACACATCTGAGGCTAGTATCTTTTATGTTCACATTTTAAGAAAACCTGTATTCACATTCTATTATGCTCACCACATCCCATTTAGGGATATTTCTTTAAACTCTATGGAGAAAAAGGTTTTTGACATAAATCTATCATATTCCATTTTGGCACTCTTAGTCTATGAATGTATACAACTGCCTCACTATATTTCAAATCCCACATTCGAAAATACGGTTTTGGGAAAAAAAACAACAACAATTCCAAATGGTACAATCAGCAGAGATTTCAATCTTCCAAAGGACAAGGAGTCAAATGCAGTGAGTCAAACAGCTGTTCCACCTGCTTTATGCCCAGAGGCATCCAATTCCTGGCCAGATTGGCCTGAGGATATGAGAGTAGGGAGGGAATGCTGAGAGAATATATTTGAGTTGGATGCTTATATTTTGTCTCCTGATTCCAGTGTTTACCCAGGACTGATAATTATCTAATATTTTTAAAGCTATCCTTGACCTTTTAAAAAGCGTGGTCCAACTCATAAATTTATATTTCTTAATGCAATATAAACATATATAATTAAGAATGTAAAGTATAAGTTAGACACAAATAAGCAAACCATACTCTCTCTACAATGATGGTGATTAGACCACAGCAACCTACCGACATGGAACAAGCAGAATTATATGTTTGTTTGCTGTTTAACCAGCTATATTGTTTTCATTTCTAGACAATATGCACTAAAAACAATGAATTGATAGTGACTATTAAGAACAACTTTTACAACTTTCCCTGTGACATGTTTTCTTATGTCTGTCTCTCCTAGGGAAGTGGATGAGGTGAGGAACAGTAAGTAATTCAAAATATTTAAAGTGGAATGATAGGATTTATGAATAAGAATTAAATTCAAAACTCTCCTAGGCTATACCTTCACTTTATAGAGCTTATTTGTGGAACATATTATTGAGAATGGCACTGGAATAAACAGACCCAGAGAAAATTAGTGGTATTCTCTAGGACTCCCAGTTCAACTGGTAAGACTCCTGATTGCCAAGTAATGCTTCTTCCATTACTCTGGAAAGGCTGGAAGTTGATAGTTTGCACTGATAGCAAAGTTGCTAATTGCTAAGCTCAAAATGGTTTAGACAAACCATAGTGATGCTGAGCCTAGTCTAAGTAGAAAGAGTCCTAATCCCGAAACATCATGATGTAGAACAATATATATGGCATTAGGAATCAGAAGACCTGTGTCATAGTCCTGGCACTATTCTTGCTGTGACCTTGGGCAAGTCACATAATCTATCCAAAACTGAATTTCCTTAAAACATGAGTTAGTTTGATACCTGAATTGTACAAAAGCATCTTTCAGTTCTTAAGTAATATAATTTTGGATATCACCAACAATATAACATTTGAGAATATTCTAAAAGTTTTGGGTGCTTCTTTCAAATATTTTCCAGGCAATTGACTGTAAAATAGATCTTATTCTTATTAGTTTCAAAATGATGTAGTTTTGGACTGCACCTGAAATAAATTTATTAAATGTTTATGTCCAAAACTTCCCAGAAAAGTCACAGTCAAGTAAGAGAAATAAACATATAAACCAGCTAATACAACATGATATTGTAAGTGCTACAGCCAAAATGTGTACTAAAAAACCATTGCCACTGAGTCAATTCTGACTCATAGTGACCCTATAGGACAGAGTAAAACAGCCCCACAGGGTTTCCAAGGCTGTAATCTTTACAGAAGCAGATTGCCATATCTTTCTCCCAAAGAGTAGCTGGTGGGGTCGAACTGTCAGCCTTTAGATTAGCAGCCAAGCACTTAACCACTGCACCACCAGAGTGTGGTTATCTTCCTGGGAAGAAGGCACATTGCAGACATCAGGGAAACTATCAACAACTCTTAGTGTCTCGAAAGTTTTAAGGCTAATATGTAAATTAATCTCCAAGAGGGCCTATGGGTTAAACTAGATATATTACAGAATTCATCTCCATTCTGAAAGGATATTTTTATTGGATATAGAATTCTAGGTTTGTAATTATTTTCTTTTAGCACATTTTATTGTCTTCAGGATTCCATTTGTTATGTAGAGAAGATAGCTCTGTGTTGTCCTTTGAAGTACCTTTTCTCTGATTTCTTTAAAAGATTTATCTTTATTTTTTAGTACATAGTTTTATTATGATGCTCCAGATCTACATTGTCCAACACAATGGCCACTAGTCATATGTGGTCATTTAAATATAAATTTAAATTGAATTACAATTCAGTTCTTCTGTTGAACTAGCCACATTTCAAGTGCTCAGTAGCCACATGCGTCTAGCAGCTGCTATATTGGACTGTGCAGAATAGAACATTTCCATCATTCTAGAAAATTTTATTGGGCAATACTGTAGATTATACTGTTTTATTTTCTTGATTGGAATGTATTTGGTTCGCTGTATCTGCGGAGTGATGTCTCTCATGGGTTTAGGAAATAATTCAGACACTAACTCTCCAAATAATGTCTCTGCCTCCATTTTCTCTTCTCTGCTTCTCCCATTAAAAAGAGTTTGGAACTTTTCATTGTATTCTTATGTGTCTTACCCTCTCTTTGCAGAAGTTTCCACCTTTTTGGCTCTCTGTTCTCCAGTCTAGATATTTTGTTCTGGCTTACTTCAGGTTCACTAATTCTCTCTTTATCTATGTAAAATCTCTGCTGCAACTATATAGAATTCTTAATTTAATTCTAATTTCTAGAACTTCTCGTCGATTCATTTCCAAATCGAAGTTGAGTTTCTAGTTTTATATTGAAATTTTCGTCTCCTTGAACATAAAGGAAGAATTATTTTAGAGTTTTTGTTTGATAATCCTAATATCTGGCCTTTTGGATATGTGTTATTATCCGTTTCTTCTGCTGATTCTTTTTTATGTCTTATATCCTCATATGCCTGATTATCTTTGTGTGCCAGGTTGTATTTGAAAAGGTATTTGTGGAAATAAC